CGTAATGCATAGTTAAAAAAAAATTTGAAATTCAAAAAATGATGCATTGATGATTTATATAAAGTAAAATGTAAAATTTGCAATAAAATTATATATGATAAGAAAATCAATCAATATATGATCAAGAAAAATTGAGCTTTTGTAACAGAATACAATTAATAATACAATTATAATTAAAAATGCAAAAAAATAAATATCCTCAATCTCTAGTAAAAAAAAACTTATTGATACTGATGAAAAGTAATAAAGTAAAAGTAATAAAAAAAAAACAGTTAAATATTAAATGTTTGAACAAATCTAAACATTATTAAATATAATAGAAGTTTTTATTCATTTGAATATTTTTATTAAAATATATTTATTAAAATATATTAAAATAGCTTAATTCAAGTATAATAAAAAATATATTGACAAAAATAAAAGTAATAAGAATTATAAAAAATATTAATAATATCTATTATATTAAAAAAGATAAAAATGCTTAGAAATAAATATTTTTCATTATTAATAACAAGTATTGATGTATCAATTGTTAATAAAAACTTTATGTATTATAGTGATGTGATAATGATATATTTGATTTGAAATGACATTATAGAAAAATTATATATAAGTGCATTACATATAGATATATTACAGAAATGTAACTTATTATTAGAAAATATAGTTGGAATATACAAAATTGATTTTTTATTTAATACAAGCTAATGAAAAAATTATTGTCTTTCTATGTATTTATACATTTAATTATATATTATATAAACAATAATTTTGTTCATAATATTGAAGAATTATATTTTTTTATTTATATTTCTCATAGAAAAAAAGACATGAAATTTTAAAAAATATTTAAAATGTATGTAAAAAAAACAAAACAAAATAAAACAGTGTCTACTGATCTAATTACTGAATTACTAATTATTAGAATAAATGGTAAGAGTTACAGCAAAATAATAATTTAATATATTGATTCTTGAATATTTTAAATTTTTAAAATTATTGGATAGTAAATTTTTAAAGGAATTTTAGACATAATAGATGATTTATATAATATTGATTATAATCATAATCAATAATTTAAAAAATCTATTTTTTTTAGAATTTTTTGTTTTTTTAGAAAACTTTGTTATTATTGATAACAAAGTTTTAAAAATAATTTAAAAAACTTAAAATTAAAAAATTTAAAAAATAATTTATTAATATAAAATAGAATTTTATATTAATATTCAAAAATTTTATTAAATTGTTTTTAATAAAAACATTAAA